GCTCGATTGCGCTCACTGCATCTTCCAGAAAACAATCCAAGAGCAGAAGCGAAGGACGAAGGCTACGTCGCATTCTCACTTTTGAAGATCGAAGAAGTGTTAGTTCGATAAGACTGCATGTAGAAGAGGGAGAAAGAAAACTCTTAGCAACTGTGACGAGAGATAATCTTTCTGACGGTATGAGAATTTGAAAGACGAAAAAACGTTTGGATGTTGAATGCGTACATATTTATTTTGTCTCATCAACAGATTGTGAGCGTGATCCCGTAAGATTCCTCAGCTACGGCGGGTGGGCAGGCTCGTGAAGGATAATAGAATACCATGAAAAACAGTCTCTACATTTAAGTTGTGCCAATCTGTTGATATCTGATGTAACATTCACTCCAATCGGCCCATGGTTTGCATTGGATGCGTGTCCATACGTGTACAGCCGCTGGAGTGCAGCATAGAACAGTCACCACGGAGGGGTGAGGGGTAATCGAATCTTCCCCATGAAAGGATGATCCCAATGACTGTCGATACTTTTCGCCGACGCGGTGCATGCACATTAAAACATAAACCGGAGTCCCTGTCCGGACTCCGAGGGTGAAAGGACGAGAGTTAAGGGATTCATCTTTACATCCAGAGGAAGGGAAGGCTGAGACTTACATAATCAAGCTCTACCATGCATCATCACCTATAACTTACAAGACCTTACAATACCAGATCGCTTTGCCCATATTGCGCAGACTTGCGAGCGAGCTCTCCAGAGATCACGCGTTTCAAAATTCAAATCCAGACCATTTTTCTAGTGAGAATTCGGCCTATGGTAACACATGTGTCAAGCCCCCCCCCCCCCCGACTCTGCGCCTGAAGTCTCAAACTCGAGACACCCAATTGATTGCCTTGGTTCTCTAAACTCACAACCTGCTTCGGAGTGAGCCCCAGGTAGTCCAGCCACCTGGGAGTGGCCTGCCCGAAGGACTATGGGTCAGTCACTATGTATACCTCTTAGGATATTTGTGCGACCTTCATTCGCACAAGTTGATTTTTTACTGTTTTTTATATTGAGGGGGATCATGATGTTGCTTAGAATAGTTGAATGAAATCCATCGAAAATATCACCTTGACGGTCCCATTGACTTCCAGGCCGTTGATGATCACAATCTGGCCACATTTACGGTGTGGAGGAGAAAAGGTGATATCTTATCACATGTCTGCTTATGTGGTCAACAACCATTGACAGTGTCCATGATTGCAAAGTGTGGCTCTCATTGTTGCTCTAGCACACCGATCACGAGACCCATAATCGATGTCAACCTCTAAGAATCGCACATCAACTAAAAATCAAAAACAGCCAGGAAAGGTGAAGATGGATGATTGGATATCATTACATGAATATGTATTCAAACATAATAATTGATGGAGAAAAACGAAAGAATAGATGTAAAAAAAAGTTTAGATAAAGCAATACAATATGTAAAAAAAAATCAGGATCGAAAAACGAAAGCATCTCAAGATTCTTACTTAAATCAAAGCAGTGGTGTGTAAGTTGAGTTAGTACATGTTTAAGAATAACGAAAGACATCGAAAGTTATAATAATAATGAGAATGCAGAGAAGAAGAATGAGT